CTGCACACACCACTATACACACCGTTACACACCAGGCACAGCATTATACACACCGTTACACACTGCACACACCACTATACACACCGTTACACACCGCCCACAGCACTATACACACCGTTACACACCGCCCACAGCATTATACACACCATTACACACTGCGCACACCACTATACACACCGTTACACACCGCCCACAGCACTATACACACCGTTACACACTGACACAACTTGTACAGCACTACCGTTACACACTGATACACCACTATACAAACTGTTACGTACCGTACACACCACTATACACACCGTTACACATTGCGCACAGCACTATACACACCGTTACACACCGTGCAGAGCATTATACACACCGTTACACACTGACACCACTATACGCACCATTACATGCTGACAGATCACTATATACACTGGTACACACTGACACACCACTACAAACACACTGCTTCACACTATACACACTACTACTACGCACTGAACACATTCATATGTACACGCACTGCACTCACCAGTACACTACCCCTAAATACTGTACATTATACACACTCAGTGCACACTCATTTCTGGTCTTTCTCAAGCAATGTGTGCGAAACCCAGACAGTTAATCCCACGCCTTCACCCTCGATAGAGGAGGTTCACTCCAGAGCATTGTGTGGACTGACTGGTTAAAGGCACAGCGTCCAGGGGCACCTGTCCACACAGGCACTGTGGGTCCCTCAGAACAGCCGATTAATTTCAGGATTAAATCTGTTGCAGAAGGAAGACCATGTGATCTGAAATTAACATGAGTCAACCTGCACGTCCGTGCTTTCATTATCTCTTTGCTCTCCCTTTACTTTATGCTGTTCCGCGTGTTAATTTTTTATTGATCTATCACCCTGAGCTGCACGTACCCTGCCAGCAGTCAGAGGGAGTGCCGTGCCGGTGTCTTCACACTGCCCTCTGAGTCCAGTTTCCAGCAGGTCTACAAGAGGTCAGCCTCGCTGAAGCCGCCTGACAGACACCCGTCCGAAAGTTAGAGAGTCCATTCATGATGCTGTTACACCTGCTGCCTGTTGTTTCACCTTCTGACCACTGAGCTTCACAGTGAACCCTCAGATCTGAGGGTATGAGGCCCTCCAGCGTCCAGGAAATCTGGGTCACAGTCAGCCCAGGAATCAAACCAGTCCGGGCTGCGGGACTCTGCACTCGTATCCAAAACTGATTCTCCACTGCTTGCTATATGCTTATGCATGAGGAGCTCTGACCACCTTAGTGCATAGTGTGGGACAGACCCCAGTCTCCTGGTGTCCAGTGGTGCCCAGAGTAGCTTAGCTGCCCATTTCTCTAGGTGCACTATAGATCCTTCTATTCACTGCGCAGTGACAGACACCATCGACTCACAGCATAGTCCAGCCCAAGAAGCCACAGGTCTTTAGTTCCATCCACCCATTTTCTAACAGCTTAGTCCAGTGCAGGGTCTCAGGGGAGCCAGAATCTCTCCCAGCAAGATATGGGAGACACAGGACACACACAGACACACCAGGGCCAGTTTTCCCAGAAGACAATTCACCTACCAGCCTGTCTCTGAACTGTGGGAGGAAACAGTTCAGAACACAGGGAGAACATGCAAACTCCACACAGACAGCACCCCAGGACCTGAACCCAGGGCCCCAGGGCTGGGCGGCAGGAATCCTCCCCCACTGCATCTCTGTGGAACATGGAATCATAACGTATTTAATTGGGACGTTTTGCTGTTGATTGACACTGTAATGTCCAAGTGAAAATAAAATTTCTACAGATCCTCCTAATTATAAATGTAAAACAGAGAATAATTGCATATTCCCAAATCATTAGAGGTGTTGCCAGTATTAGTCCAACAGTCTTATTGCGGGGGCACCAGGGAAAACTGAGAACACAGAGGCACTTCTTTACACTAAAGGTGGTGGGTGTCTGGAACAAGTGGCAGCAGCCCTGTTTCTGAAGCTGATTCCCCTGTGATCCTTCCCTAACTGGCTAGATTAATTAAACTATTAACAGTCTAATGAGCTTTTCCTTTTCACTACTGCGGTGAGCCGCAGAGGCTGGTCTCACAGCCCCCCACCCCCCTCCTTCATCGCTGCCCCATTTGGCACAGGAGCCTGTGGGTGAAAGCGCAGCGTCAGATGGTTTGTGGAGCGCAGAACAGGCTGTGTCAGAGGGGCGGTCAATAAGATGGCTGATTAAGGAAGGATTAATGATTAGCACAGCCAGTGGCTGATAGTGGAGTGCTGATTGCTGACTCTCCCACGCTGATAGCAGGACTGCTGAACCAGCAGCTCCCTCCTGCCTCGCTCTGCATCTGCTTTTCTCTCTCGTTCCCTGTCTCTTTCAGCCATTCTGTGTACCTCTGTCCCTTCTCCATCTCCTTCACACTCTGTCCCAGTGCCTCTCAGATTCCAATTCCAACAGCTTTTAATTGGGGTGACCGATGGATTACAGGGTGGCCAAAGCTGATACAATTAACACAGCATTTACAGACACTTGCAGTACGAACGTGTTATTGGACATCACAGATCTCACATGAAACAGGCTGTCTGTGCCTCAGGCTGGGACGGGAGATCACATACTGCACGGAGGCTTCCTCCTCCTTCCCCCATTAGAACTGGGAGCTCTTCTGATCCTGGCAGGTGTGGGAATTCTGGGATTATACTTGTTATTTTAGGGGAGAATGCTTAATGTCTGATCTCTTCTTTCTTTCAGTGCAGCAGAAGGTGCATCTCTGTCTTTGCTTCTCCCTGCTGGCAGTAGGAGCACAGCCTGTCCTCTCTGGGAAGCCAGGTCCCTCTGCCTGTGTCCAGTTTCTATGTCCAGGCTGTGGTCACTGTGACTGTCCTCTCTGGACAGCCAGGTCTGCCTGTGTCCAGTTTCTATGGCCAGGCTGTGGTCACTGAGCCTGCCCTCTCTGGGTATCCAGGTCTGCCTGTGTCCAGTTTCTATGGCCAGGCTGTGGACACTGAGCCTGTACTTCGTCTGGATCTGTTGCTCTTTGCTGTCTCTCCCCCTGGTTAGATAAATACTTAGCTAGAGTAAATTACTTTTTAGCACATTCCAGTTTGTGTGTTTCCCACTGGGTAAGGTGGTATTGTTTGGCCTGTGTTGGGATTTGATAGGCTGTGATGTGTTGTTTTTGTAGTGCTGTCCTGATGTCAGTGAACTACAGGACCAGCTGATCAAGGGGCTCTTCTCTGTGTTCAGCAGGGCCTTGTGGTTGAAGGAGTTCTATTCACTGACATGTAACCAATACTTTATCGCTCTTTTATGTATATTAATCGGCAGTAGTGACTGGTCCAATTCTGTGTGCTCTGTATGTTTGTGTTTTTCTCTGCACATAGAGGATGTTTTTACAGAACTCTGTGTGCAGGGTTTCTGTGGGTTGTTTGTCAAATGTATTGTAATTTTGGTCTGTAATTGGAACCTATACTTCACTGCCAAATAGGGAAAGGGGTTAGATTATACTTTCAAATATTCACAGCCAGATGTTTACAGGATGGCTGATATTGCACAGTACAGTATACACAGCCAGTTGTGTGTTCCAATGTCTCGTTGTTCAGTGTGAAGTGGTACAGTACTTGTTTCCCTGAGATCTGGCTTTCTTCTGGAAAACAGCGACTCTGGTCTTGTCCAGAAAGGCTGGCAGTGCCCAGGTCTGACAGTACTGCTCCAGCAGTGCCAGGCTCTGCTGCAGCCCCTGTTCTGTGGGCGACAGCAGGACCAGGTCATCAGCGTAGAGCAGGAACTCTATGTTGTGTAGTGTGAGGACAAGAGTTGAAGACTGTTCCCACACTTCTGTTATCTCATTGAAATATGTTTGACCCAGGCTGTAGCCCTGTCTCACCCCACAACTTTGAGAATGAAGAATTCTGGGCTTTTTCTTTCATTTTTCACAGCTCATCTGTTCTCCAAGTACATTGATTTAATTACAGAGTAGACTTTACCCCCTACATCACTGTAAAACATTTGTAAAACTGTTCTTCATGCCAAAGTGAGTGAAACACTAAACAAATCAATAACACAGGTAAATATTGTCTTTTAATTTTTTGTGGCCATGTTTGTTTAACATCACTTTATTAAGCATTAGGAATTTGTCTTTTTGCAGACCCCAGCTTGCTCTCCATGAGACACACAGACAGGGAGAGAGAAGCTTGGGGTCAGAGCGCAGTGTCAGCCATTTATACGGCGCCCCTGGAGCAGTTGGGGTTAAGGGAGCCCAACGGAGTAGGATTCCTCTGCCGGCCGCGGGATTTGAACTGGCAACCTTCCAGCCACAGGCGCAGATCCTGAGCCACAGAGCCCCCGCTCCGCCCCATTTAGAAGTGTGCGTAGGATGTAAAAGTAATTGAACTCACAGCAGTTTGGTAGGATGCCCATCTGACTTTTACCAAGAACACCGTGCTCTGTATGGAAAGCCAGTATTTGGGATTTCATGATACTGCTGAATACTTTGCCCAGGTTCCTGTTCACAAAGACACCCTGGTAGTTATTAGGGTCAAGGGTCACGCCCTGTACACCCAGAGGGCGCTCTCCTTCTGTCCTG